TATTTTATGCCTCAAGGTCAAGGCTAATATCCATTTTATAATAGTAATACTAGGGATTCCTGCAATGCACGAGTTTTATTAAAACATTTTTGGGCAATAGAGATGGGGTGCAAGTTGGGTGTACCCAATTCAAGTCCAACTTGATTCAATCAAAGCTTTTGCACAGGTTGAGTTTTAGTTTTTGAACTTTAATATGGGCTTGAGCCAAAACAACTTGGGCCTAAACTAAACTCATATTAGGCTTTGGTTGAGGCCTCTGGTATTAGTTCAATGCAATTTAAGTTTGCCTATGTGTGTGTGTGGAAATTGAGCTATAAAGCTCAATATGCCTAAGACCAAGCATAGCCCGAGCAGGGGTGGTGGTAGAGTGGGTTCGGGGAGGGTTTTGTAAATTCTAGACTTTACTCGCCAAGTGGGTTGGATTTTGAGAATCCAAACCCTCCTTGCACATGAAAATGGAAAACCCTCCCCATATTCAAAGGTAGGGGTGGGTTGGGTTTAAAACCTACATCTAGTTTCTATTATTTCTTGTTATATAAAAGCAATAAATAAGTAAAATAACATAAATAAACAACAAAATTTCCAATTATTTGATTAAGATTTTAAAGAACACATAAACTATCAATTACCCTTTACATCTAATTCAAAATATTATTAAATTCAACACCTAGTACATAAAGTTTATATTTCTTTCCAACAATATGCAAGTTGAGGGGGTCGGGTTTAGCCCAATACTATACCCTACCCATAACATATGGGCTATAGAACCCCAAAACTTGACTTGCTCCAAAACCTATCTTAAAAAAAAAACCACCCCGTCAAGGTGGGTATGGGTGGATGGATACCCATCGGCAAACCTGTTCATGGGCAGGGCTCAGGCTTGGCTTTTGCCAAAATTTGAATGGGGCCGAGCCCGAAGCCTAAGCCTAACACAATATAAGTCAGGCCCGAAGCCCAACCCGTGAACAGGTCTACCCATTGGGTATGGTAGAAATCGCCATCACTAAGCCTGAGATGCTTAGTTAAGGTTAAGTTAGGCCTAGGTTAGTAAACTCAAGCTTAACCTTGAATTGGACCAAGCTTGAGCTTGAGAGGTTTGAGACTTAGGATTGGATTGACCATCAACCCGACCCAAGCCACTCAAGTTGCACCTAGCAAGGACCTGTGCGATGCATGGGCTTTGTTAAGAGAAAGCTAAATAATATAAACACATAAGAGTAGACAATTGTTTTATATTTTAACATTTTAAATAATTAATAATTTAATTTTATATACTACCTTTAATAATTTTTTACAATACAAAAATACAATAATTAATTTCAGCTAGGTTGTTCATCAAATTGGTGAAACCAATCAACACCACCCAACTCGACTCGAGTTGGTCAGTTCTCTAGTATTTTTGGTGGGTTTTGGTTCAGCAATTTCCCAACCTAACCAGGTCGGGTCAATTCGGTTTGGCCATTTGTAAATCGACAAAAACCAAACCGACATGACCATATATATTATATACATTATATTCTTATTATCAAATATTATTAAAACTATTATAATTATTTTTGTGTTTATGATAAATTTTTTAAGGTTATTACGTAATTTTTTATTTAATCTATTTTATTTGTTTTTAAATATTATTTAGTCATTAAGTTTTTTAATACTTCAAATATTTAAAATTAGTTATTTACAATATTATTTATCTATTTAAATAATATCATTATTTAGTTATTTCAATATTACTTATATATTGAATTTCATAATCCATAAAATTATGTTATACTATTATTACATAATTTCGTTATTAATTTTGTAAAATATAAAACTATTATTAATTCAAATTTTATGAAATCTATTATAACGATTTCTACTTTTAATAAAATTTTTAAGTTTATTAGATAATTTTGTTATTTTAACTATTTAAAATTTAGTTATGTTAAATATTTCATTATTTAATATATTTAGTTATTTAAATATATAATAAATTATAAAATATTTAAAAGTTTTCATTGTTGAAATTTTATTTATTTTAAAGTTATTACATAATATTAAATATTTTGTTTTATAATATTTATCTATTTTAATATATTTTTTTATTTATAATATTTAGTTATTCAAAATTTTAAATAATAATTTTTAATTTTTAATTTTAATTATTTGAATAATTCATAAAATTATAATCTATATTGTTAGTATATAATTTTGTTATGAATTTCATAAAAGTATAAAATTATTAATAGTATGAATATTATTAAATCTATGATTTTTTTTTTGTGATTTTAATAAATATTTTAAAGTTATTACATAATTTTTTTATAATAGTTAAATAATTCTTAATTTTTTTTTAATTCAAACTTTCTAATGATAGATATAGATAAAAAGTGGGGGGATAGGAAAATAGGAATTAGAGATAATTTAAGAGATAAACTCTCTACTAAATTAAAGATAATGTAAGAGATCATTATGACCTATATATAATTTAGGAGATAAAATAGGAATTATAGATAATTAAGGAGAAAGTGGGGGGATAGTAGTGCCACTTGGCTAGATTAAATTAGATTTCGGTAGAGAGAGATTTTAGGAAGGGATATCCAAAGGGATAAAGAGAGAGGAAAGCGGGATGGGCCAAACATGTTGAGATATCAAAATGAGAGAGGGAGAAGAGGGACTTTGAGATAAGAGAAAGCTCAGGTGTGGCATGTTTCTACTTTAGTATATATAGATACGTAAATAATAGGTCCGAGTAAATTCCAATATTTTTTTTTGAAGCCTAAAGGCACATTCATTCATGACTCTAGACTTTCAACAAGATTACATCTCAAAATGGAGTATCAACCTTACACAAGTGAAGGAGGTAATACCCAAGTTTTGGAAACATGATACTCAGTAGCATAAGTAGCAAGTTTGTGACCTAATCGATTACAATCTCGAGATGCAAAAGGCACTAAAGCTTGAGAAAAACAAGACAACAAAGATCTGCACTCCCTAACTATGTGGTGTAATCTCCAAGGAGGGTCTATTTAGGAATTGAGTAGACCCACAATAATTTTGGCATCACTCAAATTTTGGCATCACTCAGAAGATGAAATACTTGTAAATCCAAACTTTGAGCCATTAATAATCCTTGGCAAGAGCTTCCATTTCTTCTGTAGAAGAGGATTGGACTGGATGAACCCGACCAAATAGGAAGTTGCCTGTTGAATCACAGATAGCAACATTGATGGCTGTTGAAGATTGGTGCCAAGCACCATCTGTATTAATCTTAACAAACCTAACAGAAGGTTTATCCCAATGTAGTGAAGAGACTAATGTAGGCTGAACCTGATTTTGTTGTTGAGTATTTTAAATGCCTACATTAATTAGCACTTCTGAACAATGGGCTTGAATTGATGAGATTACAGAGGGTATAGAAATATGAGCATTGTTAAAACCCACCTTGTTGCTATGCTTCCATATATACCACATAGTAATCACTCCCATCATGAAACAATGAGTTGGATGTGAGGATGCATTATCAATTTCAATCCAGGTCTCCGACCACTCTTTAAGTATATATTTGGTATAGCTTAATAAGTGTTTGTACTTGTGTTCAAAACCTAGAAAAGTATTTGATAAACTGTTTATAGACAATTAAGTGCTATTACTTAAATTTTGATATATCGTTTATAGGCAATGAATAAACACTCAACCGTTGGGGAAACGTTAAAATGAAGCTTCCCCCAATGATTTGTATACATGTAAATCAAAACACATTTTTGTAAATATCAATGCATACGGATGAATATTATAGGAAAAATACTAATTTGACAATGACATGAGGGTTTTTGATAAACACTTATTACGAAAGGCCCACAGAACAAAACACATGCTAAACCCCTCGAGGTAAATTTCGATATTTGATTTCTGAGTCTGTTACAAGTATGCGTTTGTTTGGCATCGATGCCATTACTCCAAAAAATGGTGACACATCAATAGCATGTTGGAAAAAATGATGCTCCAAGAAACACTTGTTTGTTTGGAAAAGCTTTTTCATAAAAAACGATGCTCCAAGCCGTGCCTTGGAAATTGAGAAAGCGTGGTTTGGAGCAACACTGGATTTGGTGTTTTCTCAGATTGCAGTTCATTGTTGCCAACGAAGACGCGGGTGTGGCAGTGATGTGGACTTCCTATAATGGGTACCAGTGCTGAAAATAGACATGGAGCACTAGTACTAAACAGAAACTGTTGTTGTTGCTCCAAGAAACATCCTACCTGATATCAACGTTTCCAAACAAAAAAAAGACATTGTTTTTTTTTTTTCCATAAAAACGGTGCTTCCAACCCACACATCAGCAATGCTGTTTTCTGGTACTGTATTTGCAGCATCGATGCCAAACATGTACTATATATATAACCAATTAATAATGGGTTAATAGCATATAAGGGCAACTTTTGAGGTTTAATATCAATAAAAGTAATATATTTAAAAAAATTTCAAAAATAGGTTAACTTTTTAAAAGTAATTTCAATAAAGGGCAAAAAATCCGTTCATCTTCTTCTTCTTGCCATTTGTTCATCAGAGTCGCCGCTCGTCGGCACCCGCCACCGCCGTCTCCGCCCATCTCTGCCTCCGCCTTCGGCAACGTTGCCAGAGATGGGTGGAGACAGAGATGGCAGCAGCGAGCAGAGGAATGACCACCAGTGCCGCCATCGCCACCTCTGCATCCTACAACGTTGCTGGAGGTGGAGGTGGCGGCGGACAGTGGTGGCGAGTGGTGGTGAGCGGCGGCAGGCAGCGGCTCTGGTGAACAAATGGCATGAAGAAGATGATGAACAGTGTTTTGCCCTTTATCGATATTATTTTTAAAAAGTTAACCTATTTTTAATTATTTTTAAATATATTACTTTGTTATTAAATCCAAAAGTTGCCTTACGTTAGAAACCCATTAATAATCGGTTCAAGACTGGTCCACCCATCCATCATTCAGGTTTCTCTTTCCTCCCTCCCATTAAAACCTCATTTTTTTCATAATTCTAAACGATTGTCCCTCTGCCCGTCTTCCTCCTCTTCTCTAGCGGTCTAGCCCCATGAGCTGGTTGGAAAAGCTAGGGCTAGGTTTTGGCAACAGAGCTACTGAAACCTCCATGGATTCTTCTTCTTCGTCATCCATCGCTCAAGACCCCGACGATGACATCCCCGCGCCAGGTCAGCAGTTCGCTCAATTTGGCGCCGGATGCTTCTGGGGTGTCGAATTGGCTTTCCAGAGGGTTCCTGGTGTTACGAAGACGGAGGTCGGATATAGTCAAGGTCATTTGCATAATCCGTCTTATAGCGACGTCTGCTCGGGCACGACTCAGCATTCGGAGATTGTTAGGGTTCAATATGATCCAAATGAGTGCAGTTACGAGAATTTGCTTCAAGTGTTTTGGGCTCGCCATGATCCTACCACGCTTAATCGGCAGGTAAAGTGGTTGAATTTAGGTTTCCGATTAGTTTCATAAGCATCTTCAGTTATCTGTTTAGTGCTATTGGTTAGTGTTATTGCTTAATTTTTTTCCTAGAGATTTTTGGCATGGATTTGAATTGGATGTTCTTTATATTTATGCTTGCTTATATATGTTTGTTTTGTGATATTTTGTCAATTGGGTTATATTTAGCTTTTGGTTGTAAAGGTGGAGTGGATGGTTAGTTATGCTAACCTCTGAATATTATTTTCCTGGTGAGCTGGATGGGTCTTGGTGGTCTGAAACCAAAATCGCTTGTCCTTGGGCAGTTCTTAGTTCTTGTTTACTCCTCGCGTTTATGCGGTCTCTGGTTATCTTGTTGTCTGGTTTAGGACTGGGAAGCATGGGAGAATTATCGATGTTGTCATTCGGGCAGTTCATGTTTGGTTATTTGGAGCTTGGAGCTTTGTGCTTACTTACGTTTCACGTTTACACTGCTCATTAGTACAATACGGTTTCAGTTATCAATAAGACAGAAACAGCTACTATATTAACCTCAGAATATGCGAGCTATTTTGGCTTTCATTTGTTTTTTTTTTTTATTCCTTTGGCTCTATTTGTTTGCAGTGTAAATCCGAACTTGAAACAAATTTTGCACCGGCTCAGATTTGCATCTGGTTGTTTATAACTATGACTCAGCTTGGGAAGAGTGCAAATACAATTATAAGATTTTAGAAATACAAGGTTTTGCACTGTACATATTTGTATTTGCACTCTTCCCAAACTGAGCCTATGTTTTGCACTTGTATCTGATGCAAATTTAATTTGCACTCATTCACAGTGCAAAATTTACACTACCTTCTTCCTTCCTTAATTCTGTTTCATATAATTAGGGACGTATTTCACCCCTCTCAAACAAATGACCTTTTTTCACCTTCATTCTTTTTCATATAAAGAAGTGGAAACACCAGCCTTTTACTTCCCAATTTACTTATCATAAACAAACTAAACATAGTTGTTGCTGCCAAATCTGGAGCAAAGAGCAGCTGGGTCACTTCCAAGGTGAAGTAGCTGAGGGTCCCACCTGCAAGGGTCAAAAGATGTTAGAAGCCCTGGGATGTGGTCCCAGGGGCGAGGACTCCGACAGTCAAGTTAGCCGAGGGTTGTAGGATAGCCGAGGTCATAATAAGCAAGAGAGTTGAGAGCTTAAGTGTGTGTCAGAGAGTATACCTTTGGCTATGGTGCCCTTTTATAGTCAGAGCCACCTAAGAGCCCAGTAGTGGGCGAGAGGTAACGGTCCCATGAATCGAGGTCATGAATGCAGCTGTTACTGGGGCGAGATCCTAGTGGTCGAGCGTTACCCCATCATTAATACGTGGGGAGGGAATTGAGCCGAGACCATAACACCTGTAGTACATGCTATTTCAGTAATGACCCCTGGAAGTTATTGCCCTTGGGATGTGCCACATGTCATCATCCGATGGAGTGGTCGATTATACCCATATCAAAAGCTAAACCTGAAGCAAAAGTATTGACAACTTTTATTGATAGAAGACAAATTTTGGATGGCTATTTGGTGGCAAATGAATGTATTGACTTGAGACTTATAGCTAACCTTTCAGGTCTGATTTGTAAATTAGACATGGAGGAAGCTTATTACCATGTCCAGTGAAGTTTTGTTGAATGCTTACTTAGAAGGATAGGTTTTGGTCTGAGATGGTGGAAGTGGATAGGTGCTTGTCTCTCAGCAGCAAGACTTTCAGTTCTGGTGAACGGCATCCCTGGAGGTTATTTTGCAGTTGAATGAGGCCTTCGCCAAGATGATCCTATCTCCTTCTTTCCTTTTATTATAGTAGTTGAAGCCCTCAGTAGATTGGTTAATAAAGCAGTGGAAGGCAATTATTTGGAAGGTTTCAAAGTTTCCGTGGCTAGTGATCCAGTAACTCTTTTACAGTTTGCCAATGACTCCTTTTCTCTAGACCGGCTGCCCAAGATCTTCTTTTTCTCGGGTGCCTGCTAATATGTGTTGAAGCGGTTTCTGGAATCTTCAAAAGTCTGAATTGATCCCGGTGAATGAAGTGCCTAATATAAGTGAGCTTGTAGCTGTCCTTGGTTGCAGAAGAGGAGCCCTTCAAAATATTTGGGCCTTCCTTCGGGAGAAAACTATAGATCAAAAGAGATCTGGGATCCAGTGTTAGAGCAAGTCAGAATCAAATTAGCAGGTTAGAAGAAATCATAATTGTCTAAAGGTGGTAAACTGAATCTCATTTAGAGTGCTTTGTCAACTACGTTACTACCCACTTATTGTATGTCTCTTTCCATTGCCCCGGCTTCAGTGTTATCTGTGCTGGAGAAATTGCTAGAAACGTCTTGTGGGATTCAAGAGAAGATGAGAAGAAAATCCATCTTGTTGCTTGGTCTGAACTCTGAAGTTTGTAAGCCAAAACAACAAGGTGTAGTGGGTATTAGACCTCTGAAATATTTTAAGAAGGCTCTCCTCTTGAAGTGGCTTAAGGATGGAATTTTGGAGGAAGTTGATAGCTTGCAAATATGGGGAGGTAGGTTTAGGTTGGGAAACAAATGCTGTTCAGGAGCCCTATGCACTAGTTTTTGGAAAGGAATCATGTAGAATAGAGAGAACTTCTTCAACCAGATCAGTTCTAAACTTGGAAATGGGGGAAAACTACTGTTTTGGAAGGATCATTGGTGTGGTTCTTCTCCTCCTAGTTCAGCTTTTACAAGCATCTATGCTTTGGTAGCTGATAAATTTGCCAAGATCAATGACTACTATAAATCCTTTGGTGGCATGGCATGCAAGTCTGGACCCCTAAGGCTGCATTTGTTTGTGGTGTAAATACACTTTTACACTGTTTTCAACCCATCATTGACCTGGCTGGTTGAGTCATTTGAATGGTTACCCGGCCTTGATTTCGTCTCCAGTTCTGTTGAAATCCACCCTTTGGTCAAAACTGTCCAACTCGGGCGGTTCAATTGTTGATCCGTTTGACCCTGTCACCAGGTTGTGGGTTGCATACTCAATGTACATACAAACTTTTGGAGGCCATAACTTTGCACTCCAATGTCCAATTGGTGTGATATTTTTTATTTATTTTTTTTATTTTGGGTAACTTTTCGAGATCTATGCGTCCCAAGGTGCCTTGCCCCACTATTTTTGCCAGAAAACCCTTTTTTTTGCCTCAAATTGCAATTTAACATTTTTTACAAATAAAAGAAAAATAAAAAACTAAATTAAAAAATATAAATTAAACATAAAATCATATTTATATACATATATTACATCTCAAAATTAATTATACAGTTTTTATTGATAAGATGCATGTTTATACATACCTATACTAAAACATATCTATATCTATTATCTATATCTTATCCTATCTATCTATCTATCTATATATGTGTGTATATAGATTTGATGACATGGCATAGTCTGACCCATTTGACCTGGGGTCGAACCAGTGAACTGTGATCTGGAGGCAAAAGTGGGTCAGCCTTCGGGTTGGTTTTTAAAACATTGCTTTTACACTGTGGAATTGTGTCATGTCCGGTTTAGGAGAGTGTAAAATGGGGACCGGATCATTGTGCCCATTTACACTCTTCCCATTTGGTTACAACAAGGTAAATGGACGATGCAATATTTACATGTGTTTGGTTGATATACAACAAAAGTAAAAAGAAAACAGATGCAATGATTGTTGTTCATCGTCATCTGTGTCTGCCTTCCCCATCTTGGCCCTGCAACAGGGTAGTCTGTTTTTAACTAGTTCAAGATGATATCCTATGATTCCAAAACCATCCTTCTCCATCACTAGATAAGGGAAACTTCAATTGCTTAATGACAGCATTGGAGGCAGCAATAATAGAATCATCCAAGATGGTCTCCAGTCAATGAAAATTATTGAAAGGGTTAGTAGAGAAATCAACCTTGTTCATAGTTTCAGTGAAGATTTTGGTGACAAATTGGAGGGATTGGTTTTGACAGCAACCCATGAGCTCCATTCCAAGAATCCCTTCAAGGAAATTGAGGAAGTTCTCTACATCATTGGTGGTAGTGAGCTGAATTCTGGGTGCTATTTTATTGGCCATCCATCCTTCAAAGAGGATGGGTTTGAGCTTGGACCAAGAGGCATAGATGGCTACAGTGTGAGCCATGGGGCCATTGCCGATGATGTTAGCCGGAGATTATCCATGGCGCCAAAGATGTCAGCTAGGGCAGAAGAAAGAGAATGGTGGTAGAAGCAGATTTGGGTGCCATTCTGACAAAGTTTCAAGATGTTTTTTTAACGTCGGATTACTAATTGTACCTTGGTTGCCGACAACAGGGAAGGCAGACACAATGACTGTTGTATTGTCTTCGACTCTCCGGTGAGAAGAAAAGAGAGACGGGAACAAGTTTTTACTATTTATCTTGATTGAGAGAAGAGGATAGTTTTACATTGAAAAATTAATGTTAACATTACACCGATTATTGATGTAAAAACTTTCTTGAATAGAGTTTTACATCCGTTTATGATGTATATTAACACCATTACCAAACACGAGTAAAACTGGTCCAGAGTGCAAATTTATACTGGTCTGGAGTTTACACCACAAACAAACACAGCCTAAGTATGAGATGTGGATGATTGGAATATTGAGTCTTTGTCAAACATGCTACAACTGTTAGAGGGTTTTAAGCCTCAGCCTTTAGTTGAAGTCTTGGCTGGTTAGGGGAGAAATCTGTGTTTCACTGTAAGGTCAATGTTCACAAGCCTGTCTGCTAATCCAGATCCCCAGGTGCCTTGGTTTTGGATTTGGAAGCTGAAAATCCTGTCCAATATGATCTTTTCCTTGTGGGTGGCACTAAAAGGAAGGTTACAAACCATCATTGTCCTGCAGTCCAGAGGCCTGGTTTTTGTTAACTATTCCTGTCTTTGTGGTGTGGCAGAGGAAAATATTCAGCATATATTCATCCACTGCAGGGTTACTTAGGTTATTTGGTCCCACATAATTAATCTGTT